TAATAATAATAATAATAATAATAATAATAATAATAATAATAATAATAACAATAATAATAATGTGTCTGAATAGCATATATAATAAGATATGATATAAAATCCTGGAAAGGTATATGCCTGGACACGGGAGAGAAGAGTCTGCCTGTTAGTTGAAACCAGGATTCTGAAGGAACGATGCGGATTTCTTCCTGATCGTGGAAAAGTGGATTGGCTCTTGATTTTCTTGAAGATATTTAAAGATGTGTGGAAGTTTACCAACCAGTCTTGTGGAGTTGAAGGAGACATTTTCACATTTTCCCTTGGAACCCTGTTTTGGATGGAAAAGACTGAGAATATATTTAAAAAATATATCACCATCCTGTCCACTACCCCACGTTTTTCCCAACTATTGTTAGAACATTCCTTGAAAAAGTTGTAGTGTGTTAGTGCTTAAGTCTGTGAATCTCTTGTGTGAAATTAAATATCCTTATGCATTATCTTGCTTCTGGCTCTGTCCTTAGTCCTCTTCGGAAACTGATTATCTCATCGTTAGCCTTACTGGTATTGAGTTGTAAAATTTAGACAAAGTTTCCTTTTTAAAGAATCAATGTTTTGTTGGAGACAAACAGAGGCAGAACTAAACTTAACAAAAAGCGAGCCTTTTATTGTGACTGATTACAAGCATAAACCAAACAAGAAAACCAACTAGACAAGAAACTAATCATAAAGCCTAAAGTGGGAAAATTAACACATGAAAACCTGGAACACTTGGAAATACCTTGAAAACACAGGAACACGAAAGAGGATTAACTGGTGGTCTGACAAAAGGCTGAGGAAGACGGAGACAATGTATACACTAAAGGGTGATGAGGAAAGTGGAAACACAAAGGATGAAGTGAAGATTGAGGATGAAACGCAAAGGGGAGGAACGTGGGAGGGCGAGGGAGCCAGAAACATGGAGAGAGACACAAATACGAAAACAAACATGAGACAGAGGGAATAAACATAGACATGACATGGGAAACATACATAGAGGACATGACAGAATCTCACAAGAGACACAAGGATGAGACAAAGACAAGACAACAGAAGTAGAAATACAAAAAACTCAGACATAAAAGATTTGGACTCAAGACCAAACTGTATAAACTTGAACTTAAAACATCTTCATAAAGCTGAATACTGAATACAAAATAAGACTCAAATACTGAGTCAAAGACCTAGTACCCCGATAGTTCGTAATTTTCATGGGCAGATAAATCAAATTTCAAGAGCAGAGATGCTACCCTAAGCACACAATTTAGCCAAGAACCTGTTAAAGATTATTACAGAAGTTGTGATCAGCTTGACCATAGAAAGAAAAAACATATTCTGACATGTTTCATGTTTCTCTTCCTTCGTGAACATAAAGATGAAGTTAGAAAATTCTTTCATTGCTTCAATTCAAAAATGAAGAAGGTTTTTGTGGCAGTAAATGTGTTTGCCTTATGAAAAACATAGTTTTATTTAATTGTGAATCATTGGTTAAATTTAGAAGTTTGGGACTCGAATCTGTGTTTAAGTGAAACATGATATTTTTTAATGTTCTTTGTCATATGCCTCAAATGTAAAACACTTGGGGTTATCTCAGATTTTAAATGTGCTATATTGTAGCAGTTTTGGTGAAGAAGTGAAGAAGACTGGACTCCAAGCTGCTCCTGCTTATCACTGCTATGCTGAAGCATAGACTTGACCCAATAAATGAACCCCATTTTATTTTAATCTTTACTTGGTCTTAGACTGTTAGACCACTGACACCACTAAGGCTGCAGCTGTAAGGATGAAAACTAAAACTATCTTTCTTCTTTTGCAAAACTCAGCTCTTCTGCTGCTAGTATACAGTATGTATACCAATGTTTGTGATTGGTTAGATGGTGCCAATGCCACCACTCTCATGTGAACATGCAGTGGAAACCCTGGTTTAACTTAGTGATTTGATAACCAGCTTCATGTGAGCACATATCCTCGTGGAAAAAGGGGACGTGAATCCAGATAACAGACAGATATCCTGGGTACATTGAACTTGGAAGTATTTTAGGATTTTCGTAAACTGGAAACTCTTTTCTCTTATCTTTCCCATGGTCCCTTAATGCAGGATCATTGTTACAGACTGTGACTGCTGTGAACAAACTGACAGAAAAATATTTAAATGTTTGCTTACTGATGGTCGTCCAGAGTGTGAGCACAGGTTCTGCTTACTGAAAACCCATAATGACTGTTTGCTTTTTTTTGTTGTTGTTGTTATGTTGATGTCTCCAGAGTGACTCTCCTCATGTGATAGTTTGTGTAACTACTGTTGTTTTTAAAGCATATTTTTCATGTCTGCTGACCTACAGTTTATGACTTGTGTCTCTTATCTTATTTGTCACTGTGCTGGAACAACGACACTGCAGAGGATTAAAAAACGGTTGTTTTATGAGTTTTAACTCTGCTGCTCCTCGTCCTGGAATGTGGTAAAGCCTGAAAACACTCCCTCTGCTTTCTGCTCTCTCACAGCTGATCCCTTCCCTTCACACACCTGACAAAAATGAGATCAAATGATGAGAAGGAAACAAAATCAAATGAGAGAGTGAACAAGAAACAAACAGCATAGGTCAGAGTATAGAAACTGTTAAAACCATAAAGAAGTGAAAATACTGCATATATTAAACTCAGTGACTCTGGCAGATAATTACCTGAAAATTGGTACATTCGCTGACTGACATTGGATGACTTTGAAAAACATGGAACCATCAACAACTGCCAATAAAACATTTCACATAAACTTAATGTAGAAAAATAAGGCAAAGGCGAGGAACAAACTTTAACTCCCAAGAGCTGATCCTTATCTCAGAATATTTAAAAAACCTGGTCGCCTTCATTCCTCTTTCTCGTCACAGAAAGAAGACTGAAAATTTTAACGCAATTAAACCATTTGGAGTGCAGAATGACTCAAGATCCCTGAAATGTCTCTGTCAACGCATTTTGGGCAGTTTGTCCAAAGTTTGTCCATTCTGCGCTCTAGATGGGTTGATTGCATTAAAATTTGTAATCTCATTAATCGTGATGAGGGTGTTAATGTTGACAGCCCTAGTTTGTTGGTTTGTTTTTATTTTGTTTTATTTTGTGAGCAAGTTATTAGATCCCGCTCCAGCCAGCCAGAGAATCCTCTGCCGTCCCCCCTTTAACGCGTTGAAGTTTACAACCCTACAACAAACACAAAAACTGAAGACATTATGATATAGACATAATTTGCACCGATCTGTTTTCTGAATTCTATCACACACATATAAGCGAAAAGTGAGCGCGAGGGCCCTCAGTGAGCCTGCAGGGCACCAAGCAGGCAAGACAGAGCAAAAATGTAAAATGATTTTTAGATAGACTGTATGATTCTAATCGCTGTTCTGTAGTTTGACTAGGTGATTAGACAATGTTTTAAGTCATATTTATTAATATTCAAAACAGATAACTAACATGTAAGTGTAGGTTAAAGTAAGGGAACCAATCATTTCAATCATTCTCGAAACCTGTCTTTTCCCATGTACTTCACTAAACAATGACATGACTCACAAAAAATCCACTGACTTGTGTTACAACAGCCAGAAGCACAGTGACCCAAGACATATCAAAGTCCTCAGTAGATCCTACAGAGCTTAAATCCCAAATCCCCACAAGTCAGTCAGAACTGCAAAACCCTCCTAGATAAGAGATCCAATTCAATTCACATGTTAGGAGCTAAAAGTTAAAGCTCTGAGTGTAAAAATTCCTGTTTAAATTCCTGTAAACTGTTTAACTGGGTCATAGTTGTTACTGTATTCAGTAAGTCAAGCATAACACACCATGCCTGTCACAACACGCTCTTTGTCACACTGTTAATACTTCCCCTGTATAAGGGTGGATTGCAAGAAGTAAAAAAGAGCTCAGTTTCCCTTCAGGGCACAGAGGCTGTTTGTCTTCACAGAACGTGAAACCTATGTGACAGTCAGAGAGAAAATAGGGAATTAGCGCAGCAAGAAAATCAAATGGACCCAGAAACCTTCACTTGTTCGATCTGTTTGGATCTACTGAAGGATCCAGTGACTATTCCCTGTGGACACAGCTACTGCATGAACTGTATTACAAAACTCTGGAATGGCGAGAAGGTAAAGAAAATCCAAAGCTGTCCTCAATGTAGGCAGATCTTCACAGTGAGGCCCGTGCTGGTGAAAAATACCATTTTAGCAAATTTAGTGGAGGAGCTGAAGAAGACTGGACTCCAAGCTGCTACTGCTGATCACTGCTATGCTGGACCTGAAGATGTGGCCTGTGGTCTCTGTATTGGAAGAAAACTGAAAGCCCGCAAATCCTGTTTAATCTGTCTGACTTCTTACTGTGAGAAACACCTCAAGCCTCATTATTATTCACCTACATTAAAAGAACACAAGCTGGTGGAGCCCTCCAAGAAGCTCCAGGAGAACATCTGCTCTCATCATGATGAGGTGATGAAGATGTTCTGCCGTTCTGATCAGCAGAGTATCTGTTATCTCTGCTCTGTGGATGAACATAAAGGCCACGACACAGTCTCAGCTGCAGCAGAAAGGACTGAGAGGCAGAGAGAGCTGGAGGTGAGTCGACAAAACATCCAGCAGAGAATCCAGGACAGAGAGAAAGATGTGAAGCTGCTTCAACAGGAGGTGGAGGCCATCAATCAGTCTGCTGATCAAACAGTGGAGCACAGTGAGAAGATCTTCACTGAGCTGATCCATCTCATCCAGAAAAGAAGCTCTGATGTGAAGCAGCAGATCAGATCCCAGCAGGAAACTGAAGTGAGTCGAGTCAAAGAGCTTGA